ATTTGGGGATCAAGAATGCTGTTCCGAAAACCATTATGCAGTTGATGTGTGTGGATGGCCTCACCAGAGAGAATGTTGCCAGCCATTTGCAGAAATACCGGCTTTATCTAAGGAGGATGCAGATCATGTCCAGTAATGGAAGTGCCGTTGGCAACAATGGCCCTGCAGCATTGTCCGCTTTAGGTGTGGACCCTGCACCTGACCGTTTGTTCGCCAGCTCCCCTGTGCCTGAGCATTTTTTGAACCCAAACAGGCCGAATTCTGACCATTTCATGCCCTTCGTGCCGGTGGCCTCAATGCATCATCATCATCCAATGCCAGCAGTGGGGGCAGGGTCAGGTCCAGAGCTGCACCACCATCCACAACAGTTTAGGCATTTTGGGACTTCACGATCGAATTGGCAATTTGAACATCCCTTCATTAGGCAGTCACATCCAGTTCACAGCAGTAATGGTTCTGTTATTGCACCTCATCTGGAGGATTTGGAGTCCGCGACTCCTACAAATGGGAAGAAAGTTCTCACCCTTTTTCCTACCGGAAATTGTTAAACGCGGGGTAATTGTCGACTTTTCATAGAAATTCTGCATTTTTCATGTCACTTTCGTTTCTTGGCCTAGTGATAATCTGTCATTGGAGTTGCAATTTAGTTTTAGCTTTTAACTGCCTTTTCTTGTTAATGGCATTTTTAGCTATTCTGATGCAGTAAGTTTGAGTAATTGGCATCCAATTGTCATGAAATACCTAATTGTAAATCTCACTTTATTTCTATTGGAATAAACGGTTGCATGGTGAAAATTCTGTTGCCTGTTAATCCAGTCCATTGATTTTAGTCCATTAGTGTAAGTTAAGTAAGTTGCCAGTAGCATTATGTTGTATCAATGTTAGCTTCTGATGGCAGATATTAATCCGCGAGTAGTAATATAATTCACATTCTTCTGACTACGTGAACCAATATTCGCTTGGTTGTCACTTTGGGAGGCAATAAGTAGAAAATAGTTCTCTTGTTTCTTAGTTTAGTGAAGAGGAGAGTCCTACTTCTTGTAAATTGTATGGCTGATATACTGTGACAGCATTTCCTATTAATTTTTCTTAAGAGAGT